TGACTTCACCACTGAGCGAAAAGGGTGTCCGGGAGCCATAGTCTCGGGGTTTCTCCAGTCTCTGTCAGGCCAGTAAAAAAGAGTGATAACAATTATGGTGTAGCGCCTTACCAATCGGTGTGCTCCAGGGACCACCAGCATCTGAATCACCTGGGAACTTTTAGAAAAGCAGACCCTTAGGCCCCACCCTAGACCTACTGAATCAAATTTGAATTTTAACAAATGGCCAGGTGATTCCTATGTACATTAAAGTTTTAGAAGTGCTGGTAGCCTAATCTCTTTATCGATCTCTGGTTTTGATTTTATAATGCTGTATTGGGTCAAATAGGGTCTCCCAAAAATTCATGTCAACTCAGAACCTGTGAATATGACCTTATTTGGAAATAGGCTCTTGGCAGATGTGATCAAGTTAAAATGAGGTCACACTTGACAAGGGTGGGCTCTAATCCAATGATTTACCCATCATTGTGAGGTAGATGCTGACTCAGATTGACCCAATAGGACAGAGTAGAACTGCCCCATAGGGTTTCCAAGGCTGTAATCTTTACAGAAGAAGATTGTCACATCTTTCTCCTGCAGAGCCATTTGTAGGTTCAAACCACTGACCTTTTGGTTAACAGCTTAGCACTTAACCGCTGCGTCACCAGGATCCCTTATCCAATGACTAGTTTCCTTATAAGAAGAGGGAAATTCGGACACAGAAATGCACACAGGAAAGGAGCTATGTAAAGATGGAGGCAAAAATCAGAGTGATGGAACTGTAAGCCTAGGTATGCCAAGTATTGCCAGCAACTACCAGAAGCTGAAAGAGGCAAGGAAAGATTCTTTCTTAGAGCCTTCAGACAGAGCATGGCCCTATAGACACCTTGATTTCAGACTTTTAGCCTTCAGAAGTATGAGAGAATAAATTTCTATAGTTTGAAATCATCCAGTTTGTGGTACTTTGTTAAAGCGGTTCTAGAAAGTTAATACAAGTACTAGTTGAGAATTTGAAAAATGCATGTTGGCCCCTAAACCTTTCCTTCAAATTAGACAGGCTTATAGCATTCTCAAACCAAATGGAAAGCATATATGTCTAGAATTTAGAATAGAAAATAATCTCGGATTTACATGCTTCAAAACATTCTAGACATATATCTTTTATATTCTTAAGACTTTTGAGTTATATAATAATTCTTTTTTCTAAACAAAGAATGAAATTATATTCACTGAATGAATTCATCTGTCCCTGTTGTACCTCGTCCTCTATTGACAGGCCCAGAATATTATTTTAGCTTTCTTAGACTCATGGAGATCATGCTGCTTTGTTCCCTGCAGGAGTTAAAATAAAATATTAGTAATTACGCATATTTAATTTTCAAAATGCCAAGTGATTACTTGCAGCATTTATGAAAAATAAAATGTTTTTTTTTTGTAGAAAATAATTTTAGGTATTCATAAAATGTTTCCTTAGTAATGGGCTTTCAAGATTAAAGTCATATTACTATTGATATTTTTATTTTTGTGATCAGAATGAAAAATGAAGTTATTTACTTGCTCCTCTTCTTTCCTCTTTTCCAGATGCAAGACAAAGGTCTACCCTGATGAACTACCAAACACAAGTGTAGTCATTGTGTTTCATAATGAAGCTTGGAGCACTCTCCTTAGAACTGTTTACAGTGTTATAAACCGCTCCCCACACTATCTACTCTCTGAGGTCATCTTGGTAGATGATGCCAGTGAAAGAGGTATACATATTTTCTTATATAATTTTTTGTATGTATGAGTGAGAAAAAAATGTACAGTATCTTCAAGTACATGAAGTCCAAAGAATTTTATATGCTATCAAAGTATACACTTCGTGTGACAAGGATGGGAAAGTTTCCAGTACATTCTGTGAATGACAAAACAATGTTCCATTTCTCCCATTCAAGTACATGAAGTCAAAAATGCATTCCATGTTATAAAAGTACACTTTGTGTGACAAGAATGGAAAAGTTTCCAATACATTGTGTGAATGACAAAACAATGTATAGTTTCTCCCATTCAAGTACATGAAGTCAAAGGAGTTTTACATGTATCAAAATATACTTTGTGTTACAAGGACTGGAAAGTTCCAAATACATTGTGTGAATGAGAAAACAATGTACAGTTTCTCACATTCAAATACACGAAGTCAAAGGTGTTTTTAATGTTATCAAAGTACACATTTGTTACAAGGATGGGAATTTCCCAATACATTCCGTGACTGATAAAACAGTACACAGATTCTTACATGCAAGTACTTTTTAAAAATTTTTTCTAAATTTATTTATTTTGTTTTGAGAATGTATGTAGCAAAACATACACCAATTCAACAGTTTGTACATGTACAATTTAGTGACTTTGATTACATTCTTCAAGTTGTGAAACCATTCTCACCCTCCTTTTCTCAGTTATTCTGCCGCTCCCATCAACATAAACTCACTGGCCTCTAAGGTTCTTATATAATCTTTAAAGTTGCTGTTGTCAATTTGATCCCATATAGATAATTCTTAAAAGAGCATAATGCTCAAGGCAGACATTTTTTCAGTTTCTTCATCTGACACGTGACTTTACTCTTCTTTTCCTGTTGCTTCAGCTGGATGGAGACCAATTGTTGTACCTTGGCTGGTTGCTTTCTAGCTTTTAAGATTCTAGCCACTATGCAACAAAGTAGGATGTAGAACAGAAGCAATAAACACATCTGTAGGCCAGTTAACTGAGATGTCCCATGAAACCATGACTCTAAACCTCCCAAACCAAGGAACCAAATCCTATGAGGTGTTTGGTTATACATAAGCAGCCTCAGCAGCTGCTGTTTTTGTTGTTGTTGTTGTAAATACATCTGTCATGGATTGAATTGTGTCCCCCAAAAATATCTATCAACTTGGCCGGGTCATGATTCCCAATATTGTATGATTGTGTACCATTTTGTAAATCTGATGTCATTTCCTTATGTGTTGTAAACTCTATCACTATAATGAGTTTATACTGATGAGGTTTACAAGATTAGATAGCGTCTTAATCCATTCTCTTTTGAGATATAAAAGAGAGAAGTGAGGAGAGACACATGGGAACCTCATACCACCAAGAAAGCAGTGCTGGGAGCAGAGCGCGTCCTTTGGCCCTGAGGTTCCTGTGCAGAGAAGCTCCCAGACCAAAGGAAGATTGATGACATGGACCTTCCTCCAGAGCTGATGGAGAAAGTGTTCCTCTGGAGCTGACGCCCTGAATTTGGACTTGTAGCCTACTGGACTGTGAGAGAATAAACTTCTCTTTGTTAGAGCCATCCATTTGTGGTATTTCTGTTAGAGCAGCACTAGATGACTAAGACAATATCTATCACACAACTTTTGCCAATTCAAATTTTACAGGTGTTCGATTTATTGACAGCAATTAACAATAATCAGCTGTGCAACCTTACCCTTAATCAATGTGATTTTTCCATCACCATTAACCCCCTTCCCCTCCCACTCTTGGTAACCACTGATAAGCTTTGGTCTCTATACACTTGCCTTTTCTTATCTTTTTGTATAAGTGAGGTCATACAATATTTGTCCTTTTTTGATTGGCTTATTTCTCTCACCATAGAGTCTTCAGGCTCCATCCATACTGTAGCATGTATCAAGACTTCATTTCTCCTACTAGCTGAGTAGTATTCCATAGTATATATGTACCACATTTTCTTTATCCATTCATCTGTTGATGGGCATTTAGGTTGTTTCCACCTCTTGGCTGTTGTGAATTGTGGTGCAGTGAACATTGGCGTACAAGTCTCTTTGAGTCTCTACTTTCATGTCTTTTGGGTATATACCTAGGAGTGGAATTTCTGGGATAAGTAGTAGCTCTATTTTCAGTTTTTTGAGGTACTGCCACAGTGTTTTCCACAATGGCTGTACCATTTTGCATTCCCACCAGCAATAGATAAGGGTTCCAGTTTCCCCACATCTTCATCAACATCTGTTATTTTCTGTTTTTTTCTTTTTATCGTAGCCATCCTTTGGGAGTGAAATTATATCTCATTGTGGTTTTGATTTGCATCTCTCTGATGGCTAATGCTGCTGACATCTTTTCTTGTGTTTGGTGGCCATTTGAATACCCTCTTTGGTGAAATGTCTATTCAAGTCCTTTGCCCATTTTATGATTGGGTTGTCTTTTTGTGGTTAAGTTATTTAAGTTTTATATATATTTTGGGTAATAGATTCTTGTCAGATATATGGTGTCCAAAGATATCATCCCAGCTGGTAACTTTTCATTTTTTTTTGGTAAAGTCTTTTGATAAACATTTTTTTTTTAATTTTTATAAGGTCCCGTTTATTTATTTCGTCTTCACATGATCTTCTCTATGGATGCAGGAAAGGCATTTGATAAAAACCAAACACCCTTTCTTGATGAAAACTCTAAAGAAGAAGATTGAAATAGAAGGGAAATTCCTCAGTATGATTCAGAGCGTATATAAAAAGCCAATAGCCAATATTATACTTAATGGAGAAAGAATGAGAACTTTCCCCTTGAAATGAGGAACAAGATAATGGTGCCTGCTCTCACCCCTTCTATTCAATATTGTATTAGAAGTCCTAGCCAGAGAAATAAGGCAAGAAAAAGAAGTAAAAGGTATCCAGATTGGAAAAGGAGAAGTCAAATTATCTCTATTCATGGTTGATATGATCCTATACATAGAAAATCCCAAAGAGTCCACAAGAAAACTTCCAGAGCTAATAGAGGAATTTAGCAAAGTTGCAGGATAGAAAGTCAACAAACAAAAATAATTTGGGTTTCTGTAAACCGGCAATGAGAAATCTGAAAGGGAAATTAGGGAAACAATTCCATTTACAATAGCATCTAAAAGAATAAAATACCTAGGTTTAAATCTAACCAGGCAAAACACTGCTGAAAGAGATTAAAGAAGATTTAAATAAATAGAAGGATGTTCCATGTTCATGGATTAGAAAACTTAGTATTGTTAAAATGTCAATACTACCCAAAGCAATCTATAAATTCAATGCAATCCCCATAAAAATTCCAACAGCCTTCTTTACAGAAATAGAAAAACCAATCCTCAAGTTTATATGGAATGGCAAGAGGCCCCAAATAGCTAAAATAATGTTGAAAGAGAAGAACAAAGTAGGAGGACTCACACTTCCAGATTTTAAAACATACTACACAACTAGGGTAATCAAAACAGCCTGGTACTGATATAACAATAGACATAGACCAATGAAATAGAATTGAAAATGCATAAATAGACCCACACATCTATGGTCAACTGATTTTTGACAAGGATGCTAAATCCATTCAATGGGGAGAGAAGAGTCTCTTCAATAAATGATGCTAGTAAAACTGGATTTCTACATGCAGAAAAATGAAACAGGATCCATGCCTCACACCATACACAAAAACAAATTCAAAATGGATTAAGAACCTAAATGTGTAAACTGAAACCATAAAATTCCTACAAGAACAAGCAGGGGCAACACTGTCAGGCCTAGCTTTCAATAATGGATTATCTAATATAATAACAAAAGCACAAACATCAAAAGACAAAATAAATGGGACCTCATAAAAATTCCTCATATGCCTCGTATGTGTGTGAAAGCTGGACAATGAATAAGGAAGACAGAAGAGTAATTGAACCTATGAATTATGGTGTTGGTGAAGAATATTGAATATACTGACTGCCAGAAGAGCGAACAACTCTGAAGTACAGCCAGAATGTGCCTTAGAAGCAAGGATGGCGGGACTTCATCTCACATACTTTGGACCTGTTTTCAGGAGGGACCAGTCCCTGGAGAAAGACATCATACTTGGTACAGTACAAGGTCAGTGAAGAAGAAGAAGACCCTCAATGAGATGGATTGACACAGTGGCTGCAACAATGTGCTCAAACATAACGATGATTGTGAGGATGGCACAGGATCAAACTGTTTCATTCTGTTGTACATAGGGCTGCTCCGAGTCGGAACCAACTCGACAGAACATAACATCAACAACATAAAAATTTAAAACTCTTATATAATTTTTAATTAGAAAGTTTTATGATTATCAAAAATACAGCTGGTCAACTATCTGTATTTACCAGTTAGCCCACAACAACCTACCAAATTTTAATCAATATACTTCATCAGTGCCAACTCCAGGAACAAATAACTAATTATTTCATTTTCTCTGATGATTCTGTTTGGCTCTTCCTAATCTGAGAAATCAGCAAAACTGACTTTTAAAAATCATTTTTCCTCAACTCATGTGATCATATTATTGAGCATTTACATGACTTTGTAGATACTTGTCTGTTTTTCTTTTAGTTCAGGCAAAAACAAATAACTTATAATTAAGGAGACTGCATTTGCCAGTGTTGCCCAGTTTGCAAATTAGACTCTGGTATCATATTAACTTCCAGTTTTAGCTTTATATGTGTCAGCCAAGTAACAGATTTGGTCACGATAAACTGTACATCAATTGACTGATGGAACCTCTACATCTTTATTTCATCTAATGCAAAAAAATTGATAAGAAGGAGTTGGCCACCATTTCTATGTGTTGCATTTCCATCTGGGCAGTATCCCTGTTGTGTCTTAAAACAGTTTGAAAATTATCTTATACATTCTAATTGTATGTTACAGATTTTCTCAAGTTGACATTAGAGAATCATGTGAAAAATTTAGAAGTGCCAGTAAAAATTATTAGGATGGAAGAGCGCTCTGGGTTAATACGTGCCCGCCTTCGAGGAGCAGCAGCTTCAAAAGGGCAGGTCATAACTTTTCTTGATGCACACTGTGAATGCACTTTAGGATGGCTGGAGCCCTTGCTGGCGAGAATAAAGGAAGACAGGTAAGAAATCATGTCGTATGTCTGCCTGGATTATGACTGAACCTGTTAGGACAGTTCTAGCTCTCCATCAGAACCTCTAAGTTGCAATTTTCAGAAGGATTATTTCCTAGCTTTTAAAATAGAAGTTTTTCTCTTTATTTAGTAAATAAGATCTTAACTTATTCATGATTAATATGAGCATTTGCTTAATAGTCAAACAAGTTAAACAATTAAAAATGTGTTGAATAATAGTATTTAGGTGAAGGAAATCAGTCCACCCAGATGTAGTACAATATTTTATAAAGCACACTTTCGGAGCACCACAGTGTGTCCTCATAACCACAATGTAGACATTCTTATCTATAGCTAATAGTAGGGAGGAACAAAGAAATTAAATAGCTTGCCCCAGTTACTGGAAATGCTGGCAAAAGCAATTCTGTTTTTCTCACTTCCAGGTCACGTTTCTCTCTACTGTATCCTTAGTCAGATCCTTAGTTAGATTCTAGTTCAAAATCACTTTGAAGGTCTTAAAAACAAACAGATCCGTACACATACACACACACCCCTCCACTGAAATAAAACCATGATTTGAAAACAACATACAGAGCATAGTTATAAGAATCATAAACAATATTATTTAAATAATATTGCCACTTGTACATAGAAATTTTGAAATCTGAAAAACTGAATAATGCTTCATAGAAATTAAGAACCCTTACAGAAAATTCTTTCTGATAATGACGCTGTGAAGTACTAGCTTTTCTTTTTCAGATATTCATAAACATTGTGATAAATGAGTACAATTTCCAAGCATCTAATGAAGACAGCTATCATTGAATTGTGTCTTTGATGTAGCAACAAAGCTTACATAGTACCTCTTACCTACAGGAGAAAGGTCTTTCTAGAACTGAAGTCTTTAATTAAGCATCCAAGACAGATGCTGCTTAGTCTGGGCCAGTCCAGGCATATCACATAAATGGCAGGATTTGGACTTGCCAGGGAGATGGATGGAAGCTGTCAGTAAAATAAACCATAGCAGTTGAAGAAAGCAGTAGGAGCTTTTTAGTCAAGTGCGTGTAGTACACAGCTAATAATATTTTTTCCACTCCATGTATTGTACAGTAACCACAGGAGAGTAACACTGACAAAGTAAAATGAACTTGGAGCATCTTCAATGTGTTTGCTGATAATTTTTCATAGACTGCTTTTAAAAGCATGTGTTTAATATTCAACTTAGGGAGTTTTTAATATATTGTTTAAATATAGTCATGCATAGGACATTCATTTTTTAATCAACAACATATTTAAATTGTATTTACATATAATAATCAACTCTAATTTCTTGTCCTGGTTATAAATTCCAATGTTACCATAACCAACCAGTTGCCATCAAGTTGATTTTAACTCATGGTGACTCCTCCATGTGTGTCAAAGTAGAACTGTGCTCTATAGGGCTGTTTGTTTGTTTTTTGTAAGTAGATTGCCAAGTCTTCCTCCCAAGGCATCTCTGGGTGGACTTAAACCTCCAACCTTTTGATTAGCAGCTGAAAGCATTAACCATTTGCACTGTAAATAGATAATAAAGTCCTTTTCAAGGTTATTGTATCTAATAATTTATTCTCCCTACAAATTAAATTATTAAATCTAATTAGGAATGAGAAAAAGATATCAATTTTGTTGGAACCAGAATTACCTTCCAGGAAACTTTTCCAAGATTAGATGAATCCTACTGATTTCAGAGAATTTCATACTTTGGCCAATTGGGTGGAATATAAAACCTAATTAAAAAGTAAGCATTGGTGATACTGGTATCATAAAACAAGAATAAATAAGTAACATCACTTCTTTGCTTTCCACTTCTGTGGCCGCTTCAGAAACATATTTGTATTTTTGCCTTCAACCAAACATGAAAAACTTATCTCTAGTCTTCAGAATTAGCTAACATCAGCATAGTCATGGGTAGAGCTGAACATTTACTCGTGGAGAAGACAGATGTTTTGGCGCCATAAAAACATATAAAGCTGGGAATAGGTTAAAAAAAAAAAAATGGGAGAAGGCACAACCTGGATTTAAAAAGTACCTAATGATCTGTCAAGAGAAAATTTTCTTACCCTAAAAATCCACCAAGTGCACCTGTTGTTCCTCTTACTATTAGAAAACTGGGTTACGGGATAAGAACACAGCTGACTAAAGTTGTTTAGCTTTCCCCATCTTAAAATGTCATCAGGACTGTGACTGTAAACTTAATTCTAGGACAGTTCACTTAGAAATTGTCATGGCACAATAACCTTCATAAGAAATATTTACTTAGAGATCATGACTGTTATTGTTGCTGTTGTTTGTTGATTTTTGTTTGTTTTCTGGGAGGTATTTTCTCTCTGAAGATTTTCTCAGAACTATCTGTTTAAGCTAACCTACTCTATTTGAGACGCAAACTACCAGATCTAATTTCCCATCACCCATTCTCCCCTCCCTGCATGCTATTGATTTTCAGTGGGTTGTAGCTAAAATGATGCATAATCTCAAAGCAGCTCTACTAATCATGCTGTGGATGGAGGTTTTATGAAAAATAGACCATGCTCATCCTGCTGAGTTAGTACTTAGAACACATTTGGAAATCAGCTTGAAAGTCAATTAGTACAGTTGATTAGATTATACATGATAGTATAAAGTAGATTGTAAGGGAGTTGTAGTCAGAGGAAATAATTTCATAGAGAAATGGATAAAATGAAAATCAAGTCATATTAAAATCACAAAATAATTAAATTTCAGCATACTGTTTATATTTTGAAGAAGCTAATGTAAAATATATCATTTATAGGTAAGCTGATTATATGTAAGCTGGTTTTAATTTTTCTGTAGGAAAACAGTTGTATGCCCCATCATCGATGTGATTAGTGATGATACCTTTGAATATATGGCTGGGTCAGATATGACTTATGGAGGTTTTAACTGGAAACTGAATTTCCGCTGGTATCCTGTTCCCCAAAGAGAAATGGATAGGAGGAAAGGAGACAGAACATTATCCGTCAGGTATGTAGATCATATCTCCTAAAAGGTACCACGTGTATTCCCATAATAATTAAGGAAGTATTCTAAATTTGTCTTTTCATTTTAAAGATTTTTTTCTTTTAAAGTCATGTATTTATTCTTCACACGTATATATATGTATAGTCTCTGGGAATATTTCAAATCAAGGAAGTCCAGAAAACATTTTAGTTTCTTAATCTTTCATGTGTTACAGTTAAATATAGTATTTTCTTACAAATACATTTTTGGAAAAGTAGTTGTAGGTGATAAATAGTAGAAATGCAAACACTACACGATCATATAAGAATCAATGGCAGTATTAAACCCAGTTTAAACTGACACAGGCAAACTTAAATATTAGCAAAAGTGCCAAATTTCTTTTGAAACTTTCTGTATTCTTATATTCAAATTTATTTAAGTTTAATGTTTGACAGGAATGTGCTAGTCTTGACACTTCAGATAAATATATATATCTTACCTAAAGGTATGCACTTTACAATCGAAATGTTCAAAATTGAAATAACCAAAATGTTTTGGTAACTATCCTAAATTTACTAAACTTAAAGAACTTTGTTCCTTAGAGTTACAATAGAAAAGTCCATTTGGAAAATGTTAATATATTAATAATTGTTGAAGATTTATTGTTTATTCCAAATTACTTAGCACGGCTATTTAATTTGAAATATGTATTAGTAAAGTGTGTTTGCCTTTAATACAAAATAAGAAGTATTATATGCATATTTTGTTATCTAGGGTAAACATTACCCACGTTATTAACAAAAAATTGCTACCTCTCTACCTTAAAACATTATTGTGTACCTCTTACCTGCAACCAAAAATAATTTCCTGAACGATACTTTGGGAAGACAGTTCACTAGTTTAGCTCTTTAAAGCTGAATTTGGCAAATCATCATTTAGCTGGAACAATACAGAAATGCCATAACATTTTAATGCAGTGTATAGAAGTCATTATCTATCTAAACATAACCTACTGAAGAGATGACTTATCCGTTGTCCAGGCTATTTAATTAAATAATGGATTCGTTAAGTCTAAACTCTATCAATTAGCTAATGGCAGAGAACAACCCTAATTGTTCGCTATTGAACAATTAAATATTGGGGCCATTAGCCCTCTAAAGGAGATATTACCACATCAATGAGAAAAATATATGTGCCTCCTAAAAATTACATAAAGATATATAAAATTATTATGTCAATATTTAAAGTGCAATTTATCCAGTAGCACTTAAATCTCGCTGTAATCTTCACATTCACCAAGCCTTCTTGATCCTTGCCTTTAGCAACCTGAGGAAATGCAGTGGATCATATTATCATTGTTTATTAGAGATCCTATTTTCCCAGAGGAGTTCTGGTGGTGCAGTGGTTAAAGAGCTCAGCCACTAACCAAAAGGTCAGCAGTTTCAATCCAGTTGCTCCTTGGAAACCCTATGGGGTAGTTCTACTCTTGTCCTATAAGGTTGCTATGAGTCAGAATTGACTCAATGGCAACAAGTTTGGCTTTTTGGTTTTGTATTTTCACAGATCATGGTTTCATTTACTGTTAGTTTATTTTTAAGCTTCTGATCCCAAGTGAAAACTATCCAAATTCTTGACCCACTTAAATATAGATAATACTCGTATTCATTTAAAACTGAAGTTTAAAACAATGCGTGTTTGTACCCATTTTCTTAACTCAATGGCAAAAGACATACTTTATTTAACTTTATTTCTTCACAAAGTCAAAAGACAGATAACAGTTATCCAAGATTCATAGTAAGAAATTACTGATCTCATTCATAAAAGTAAAGGTCTACATAGAAATCAGCCATTATTTCTCAACTAAAACAAATGTGAAGCTTCTAGCATATTTTAAGCACCATTTACGGGACTTTATTGAAATAAGAAGGAGGGCTGACGAAATCTAAGAATGTTTCATTTGTTCACCTCGGGAACAGCACATCATTTCATTTTCTGAAATGCTGACGGAACTAGAGCAAGAGAAACAGAGAACCTCAGTCTTGCTGAAGTTTTTAGATTTTTATGGCAAAAGGTTAATTAATTCACTGGCTGTGTTATAACAGCCTGCAGGTAATTTTCATCAGTATAGCTGTAATGTGAACTTTCTTTGTATTCTTAATCTATTACCTGACGATGTGATCATTTTTCTCACATTTGCACAAACAGATAAATCTTTCTAGGTGTTGAACACAGATTTTTTTTTTTCCTACTTGATTAACAGAATTCTGAATAGCTAACATGATTAAAATGAGGCTGAAATTTTAGTTTTCTTAGTGAAATGCATCATTTAAAATGTCAGTTATGACACTTCATAGTCGCTGTAATTGGCTAGTTAGTCATCATTTAGAAACACAATCATGGATCTGCATAAATTGAGAGCCACCTTGAACTTGTGACCTAAACTCGGTTATACTACATTTAAAGTAAAGCTTATAATGGTTATACTTCTCGTTCTTCTATTGGCAACTTCTGGGCTTTGATATTTTCATTTTGACAAGACATGGATTGTGTGGAATACTTGGCATTTACACAAGTATGGATATGGAATAAGCACATACATAACCATGAATATTTGGTTCTCTTTAATCAGTAAATTCCCCTTGACATTTTAGTGGCCAGATGATATGACTTTTCAGGAATATCTCAATTATGTCTGCAACAATTGAGTTATATTTGATTACAATAGAGTAATCAAATTGTTAAAGCAGGGGTCATAAACTAGGAGCTTGTGTGCCAAATATGGCTTGTAGATGTGTTTTGTCTTTCATAGTGTCTTACATTTAGAAAACTTTTTACCATCATTGAAAAATGGGATGCTTTAAATAAAAATCTGGATTTCCAGCTTTTCTTAAAAAGTCAGACCTTGGTATGATGGCCCAGTATTCATCAGCTAGAGTTTTGTAGAAGCTGCCCACATAGAAGTAGAATGAAAGTTTAGCCCATTCCCCACACTACTTATAATTGTCTCCTTGACTGAGTCTAAGGGTCAGTTGCTACTTGTCATGATTCTTCCACTTCAGCTTTTCTTGGGGAAATATTTCTCTGCACCTGTGTCTCAACCAAAGATGAGAGAAATATGTTTATTGCAACTAACCTACTTCATATATTAATTTTATTTGCCTGGCTTCTGCCATCTCTTAAATTTGTGACCCTCAACGTAGAGGCTTCAATCAGTTGTCACTGAGTCCATTCTAACTCACGGTGAACCCATGCGTGTCAGTAGAATTGTGCTCCATAGGGTTTTCAATGGCCAATTTTTCTGAAGTAGATCACCATGCCTTTTTTCCATGGCCCCTCTGGGTGGACTCAAAACTTCAACCTTTCAGTTACCAGCCCATTTTCATTACTGCTTGGGAAATGGATGAGTGTGAAACTCATCAAACACAGCCCTAACTGAAATCCATATAGCATTACCTAATGGAATAGACAAGTAGTAGCATAAATTACCTGGTTATCCTCCCGATCATTTAATTAGTTTGGGGATGCATTATGCATTTTTCTAACACGCACAACATTTGAGCTGATTTGGTTTAAACTGCTGGAAAGAGTTGGATTCCATATGCAAATACATATTTATACACACTGTTGAGCACTGCACTAGGTGCTGGATATACAAAGATGAGTATGTCAATCTCTGCTCTAAAGGCGCTCACTGTCTGGTATTGGCCATGTATATGCTGGACAAAGCAGAGAGGCCAGCATGAGTAGCCTGAGTGTGAATGCATGGGATTTAGCTGTGTCTACTGGTGTGTACATCTGAAAAACAGCCTGGCTTAAATGTTACTGATTGCTTTTCTCTCTTAATTATGTCCTGTAAGTGACCTCAATTGATACTTATAAAGAAATTAGTTTCTACTTTAATTTCTCACTGATGAAAATAGATTTCCTTATTAGAAATCTACCATTTAAATTGTCTTTCAAGTCTACTTTTTTTTTACTTTTTGTGTCTTAGCTCATGGACTCTTTTTTGTTATATAAATATTTTTATTGAGTTATAAAATACGTAATACATACCAAACCAAAAAAACCCATTGTCATCGAGTCCATTCTGACTCATAGCAACCTTACAGGACAGAGTAGAACTGCCCGATATGGTTTCCAAGGAGCGCCCGGTGGATTCAAACTGCCAACCTTTTGGTTAGCAGCCATAGCTCTTAACCACTACGCCACCAGGGTTTCCATAATACATGCAGTGAGGTATATATACAGCTCCATGAACTTTTATAAATATATATATATTCACCTGTGTGACTGCCACCCACCTCAATATATAAAAAATTTCCATCCCCACAGAAGGTTCCCTAATACCCTCTGCTGGTCAATTCCTACCATCTGCCACAAGGTAATGATTATCTGGAATCGACTTGATGGCAACCAACAACAATGACAATACTTTCTATCATCACTGGTTAGTTTTGCCTGACCCTGAAAATGTATATAAATGGATTCATATACACTATGTATTCTTTTGCCTATGTTTAGTTATTATTAATATTTTTAAGATGACTTTCTTCATTTTTACTTGGATTATTATGTTAAGTATCTTCTCAAAGTAAAACCTAAGAGTTTTAGATTTTCTTTGAGTCCTTGCTATCCTTATAACTCAAACATAGATGTAATTATAAGTTAAAACTCCTGACATATTTTAATTACTTAGATATCCCTTTTTGTTAATATATGTCTGATCTCTCATATATTTATTTTTCTCTCAATTTGAATTAAGAACTTATTAAGAAGATCAAGTAAATTAAATACATGATTAGTAATATCTCAAATTACAACTATGGTGCCTTTTTTGTGAACAACTCAGAATGTTCACGTATGTTATCTCATACATCCTTCTTATATGTTGTCATAGAAGAAGCACCGAAGCTGGCTTTGGAATGTCTGGTTTTCTCACTGTTTCATAAACCAAAAAAACCAAACCCATTGCGGTCAAGTCAATTCAGACTCCTAGCGACACTATAGGACAGCGCAGAACTGCG